AGAACAGGAATTAAATTCATGCAGTTGGAAAATAGGAATGGGAACAGAATAGCTCCCTGAAGAACGCTGAGGTTTGTGGTGAATGAGGAAGAGCTTGTTCCCCCTTTAAACTGATAAATTGTGTATGATTAGCAAAGCGGTCTTGACAAATAATCACTAATGAAGTTTGAACTCCAGAAACGAGCAGGTCGTGTAGCAATTGTTCACAGTTTACACAACCGAAAGCAATGCTTTAGTCTAGGAAGCAGATACGCGTGTGTTTGTGGTTAACCTAAAGAGAGGAAAACATGGAGTGCACAAGACAAGCGAATCCAACTGAAGTGGACCTTAAACTACAGTAGTCGAACTGAAAATGATCACTTGATCGGGTTTGGACAAGCATTCTGTTGAGAATAATTCGTTCAGTTGTCTTTAAAGCCACCGAAGTATGAGCAGTGGGCCGGTGCTTATAGGAGTCGACTATTTAATGTTGATATAAGCCCATGGTACACCAGATTTGGAACAGATACCACTTGAACACAAATTTCGCAAAAGCGCCAACACATTTTTGATTATACAGAACATGATCAACAGTTTGAATGTTCGATAACAAAAAGCCAAGCGCACGTGCTGCATACAGGTTCCATATGACGCAATAAGTGATTCGCCACCATACCATCTCCTGTGATCTAGCTGTTCATCGATAAGTGAAGAGTGGTTAAAGCTCAGGCAATATCATTTCATTTTGTTTGACCAGTTATTATACCATTGCTGCCCTTCCAAACGTCATTAACTGAGCTGTTTTTGAAGTTTCCTGAAACACATGCGATCAACGTTCTATACAAATATATAACCATACAATAATTCTTATACAGACCTGTCTGGCGTCGCCGAGAATGAAAGTTCGTTTATTTATAAAGTTATGCATGCGATCAATAATAATGCGTTTTCTGATGACAAAGAGGGAGCATGCTGTCAGCAGTGGGCTGTTACTTGTTTTATCACAGCTATTTCTTCGTTAAGGATGCGTGTTCGGAGTAGTATATCCTTTAGCTGACTAAGTAACCGTAGCATTTAACAGACATATAATCATAGGCAGTAGAATGAAGGCAAACATGGTCGGTCCTTGCGAACTCAGCAGTAACGATGATGGTTCTGGTAACAAACTTGGATAGCCCTTTATGTTGCAAGGTGAAATAATTGATACATCTGTAAGGACAAATGTTCGAAGTCCTGTGGAAACCGGCCTCGCCAGGATTGCGCATTACAACTAGGCTGCAGCCTTTGAGTAAAATATTTTAAATGTAATCACATAACCATTATTTTGCTGAGTATTTCCTACCACTTTGAGAAATGTAATCCTGGCAGTCTATCTAAGCTGTTTTAAAGGCAAATTATACAACAGCAAATGTTTGAACTACTATAGTACAGCTTTAAACAAATAAGTTTATATATTTCCAAACAAGCATTATATAATCTTTAGACGAGAAGCGATGTCACAGGTTCAGTGCCTTAACACATTATGAGAAAGACTATTAAGTCAGCCTTTCAACCATCTGTGTTAAACAAAGTTAATTAATTGCTTGGTTCGCTGGTTAGCATCCCGATCGCTTCAGCCCATTCATTTGACACAATTATTTGTATCAGTGATTTTAGGTTACACTATAGTGAAACCGATCCGCAGCTAGTGGTGAGTGAGGGAGAATGGACACTACAGGCAACAGTTTTCTTGCATGTGTAATAAGGGAAAAAGAATAAGTTGACTATGAGCCTTTAGCCATTCATACGCTTTTTAAACTACTATGTGTTAGTATGTCTAGAGCGCTGTCAGTTAAATATCTTTAACACATTCGGTATAGTGAGCAAGGCTACTAGAACTGGTCGGAGGGTGGAGGATTTGCACATGCACGCAGCTGTGGTGATGATTATTGTACGGATGGGTGTACCTGACCAATAATATGATTGATCCGTTTGGTTGGCTTGTAGCTTTTAGAGGTAGCAGGTAGCCCCAGGATTCGTTACTGAGCGAAAGAAAAAACAACACATATCGAGAACAATTATGCCTCAATTAGAAAATCCTTCAGTTAGTTCACTTAGTCCATTCGGCTTCATAGACAACTCATTATGCCACTGCCAATCACAAACAACAATGTAAGGTGAATGAAAAAAGAAAAAAGCAGATAAGTAAGTTAACAAAGACAAATTAGTCAAAAGGCTATAGTCTTCCAAAGGGGATGTTAGCTGATATGTTTAATACCAGCAATACAGGGCACAATTTAAAATGCGGCGTGCAATTTGGGGCCTGTAACCACCGACGCGAAAAACCCAATCTCAACATTGAGGCAGACTGTATGCATCACGCAAACCGACTCTCTTAGTTGGCAAATTTAGGCCTTCATTACCTGTGTTCGGTTCAGACGCCGGATACAGAACCGTTAAGTCCGTCACCGGTAGTTTGGAGATCAATGAGTATTTGAAGAATAAGACCTAGTCATTGTGCAGTTCATAATTCTAAAGAATTAACTGACCAGACGAAGCAGTTGTAACTAGGAGATATACATAAAGGATCCATAACATTTATTTTTCTAAAAGTTTACCAAGGCTAAATTTTATAGGACAAAAGTGGGACAATACCATGTTAATCATAAACTGTAACAAGTGCGTTGCTGCTACATACATTAATAGTAGCTAACCGCCAACACTGAGAATTATACTTTTACCAACGGAGATAATTTCATTCTTCGTCCCCAAATAACTGATGTCTACTAATGCAAAGAGGGACTTTGATTGATACGGTGATCTGTTCGCTTAATGGGCAGCTGTGAAAATAATTCGTTAAACAGAAAGTTAAATTAGATGGCCCCTTTGAATGTCCGTTGCCTTATGGCGCGAATTGACGGTGTATCCGCTTCGGACCCTACAACTTGCGGAGTAAAAACGAAAGGAGCATGTAAAGACAAAAAAAACCATGCACTATATTCTCTGGGAGCCAAGAATAACAAGACAGACGCGTTTCGCCCTATTGGGGCTCGTCGGTGGCGCGCATTCCCTCGGTCCTCTAAGGAGGACCGAACCCAAGACCGCTAGAGGCAGAAGCCAACTAGCCAGCAGCTTAAGCCACTTAGCCACGGGGGACGTTGGCTCGGCTACATAGTTTGCAAACTAACTGGGTTATAGCCCTACCTATCTACCACTGTCACTGACAGTGGTTAGACTGCGAGGAGGTGACGTCCTCTCACTAGACGCTATATCCATAGCATTTGAAACTAGAAGCTATTTTTTATTTTTATAATATTCATTAGTAGCAGGATTTTAGTTGTATTTCTGATAAGGCTTTCATCCCAATTGTACACATGTTACATAGCGGAGCCTAGTCCGGAAAAGCGTCAGACGCGTTTCGCCCTATTGGGCTCGTCAGTGGCGCGCATTCCCTCGCTCCTCTAAGGAGGATGGAACCCAGGAGAGGCTGATTTTTATTTTCATGTTACTCACGAGTAGCAGGAATTTAGTTGTATTTCTGATAAGACTTCCATTCCAATAGTTCACAAGTTACAAAGCGGGATGAAAGCCTTATCAGAAATACAACGAAAATCCTGCTACTCGTGAGTAAGATAAAAATTTAACAAGACGTCAAGAAGACTACTTTTGGAGAAGTCTGGTATTCGGTTTTGAGATTGGTACTTAGTCTAGGAAAACAAGAAGACAGCTATAATCATGGCGCCCTTGACAGGGAGCTTCTATAAGACGCAACTGTCGTAGTTTGCCTCTTTTTCAAAAAACCAGATGCTAGGCACTTTCTTCTAGTAATAAACATATGAGGATACCTTGTTTCCTATCAGCTTTGGTCTTGTAGGACTAGTTAATACTAGTCCGAGACGGTGCGCGGAATTAAGCGCGGATATCAGAAGGCAATTGGAGTCGGACACAGCGGACTGTATTCGATGGGACTACAAGAAACGGACGGATGAAGCGAGGAAAGAGCGTACACGTGAACGCGGGAACTTACAAGGCAGTTGTGTGTCGAGCCGGTTGTTAGATTAAAACAAGAAGGAGTAATGTACAATCGGTCAACAAGTAAATTGTACACGAAAGATAAGAGTTATCTTTTTGGGCGCTACAGTCTTGATATTAAGGAGTCGCTCAAGTAACCGCAGCGATCTGCAAACAAATTACTTTTAAACTCCATGTAAAATATATACCGTTTTTGATGTCAGGTAGCGTAGGATGGAATGCGTTTGGAACTTGGGTTTCACAAAAGAATGGAGATACTAAACACGGCAGCGTATTAAGGAACGGAATGCTAGTTTGAGGAATGAGATCACCGATGTTGGATTGAGGTAATCGATGGCACACTCAGGGTTGGAATGAAAGGCTCAAAGTGAATCAGGTCGTAATGTTTCTTTATTAACTAAAGTTCAAATCACGGGACGTTGTCCAGCGTAAACTTACAGTACTAATTTATTAACTTCAGATTATAACTGCTCAAGGAACAAGCACATCTATTTTTAGCGACCAGTATCCGTTACCACTAAATCATAAAACGCATTGTGTTTCGTTCGGAAATAACCACCGCTAATTATTTTCCAATTTGATTAAAGGCTTAATGACGGTAAACAGATGTGAGTCGCAGTTATTTTCTCCTAAAAACAAATGGGTACCTATGGAAAGTTCCCTTCATGCTAAGAATGTTCTAGAATATTCAACAGCTTGTTTATTTTAATCGCTCGTGAGCAATTAATGCCATAAAGTTCCTTAACATATTAAAGAAACCTTGGTTTCCATTTTACAAGTGACATCGAATTGCCTTTTGCCATTGCCCTAACTAGTTAACTCATAAACTTTGGCAGTACTTCACGAAAAGTGCAGCTATATGATAGTTGTCAATATTTTCACGAAAGTTGATTCAACCTACCATGATAATTTAAGTAGGCTACTGCGTCATACTCCCGAACGGAAACTCCAACTTCACTGACTACTTATAAGGTTTCTTATTTATTCCCATGAGATATTTTGCGGCATACCAGCCGGTTGCTTTGAACCAGTTTTGTTATACATTTTGCTGTGTCAAACAACTTCAAAGCATTAGATCTTTATTGTAAAGTATCCATACGAAACTTCTTGCACAATAGCTGATGTTTGAGAGTGGATTCTGTTTCAGCGTTTTCATTCCAATATCCCAGACGAGCCGACTTTTTATCACACTGGGGCTTCTTGCACTTGATAATGAAGAACTCCGTAATAATTGAAGGTTCAATGCAGAAGCATAACAATTTTTGCCTTCTTTCGATGTTCTTTTTTGTGTTTCTGCGACTTCTTCCTACATTTCTGCTTCAAAAGAAGTTCAAAATAGGTTGGTGCTCATCAATACCAATGTAGCATGTGTTCTATTCCTGTTTGTAATTTTGCGAGAAATAGAGTATGCACAAGATTATTGCAATCTGCCGGTTGGATATTTGATTCGCTTTTGTAATCCTCTAGCCAAATATTAGGAATTGCTTTCGGAAGCTAGGTGATTAACCTCAGTGGTGAGTCATTATTGTGCATTTTCAGAAGACCGTAGATTTGCGCTATTTTGAGCTACTATCCTCCAATATGTTACATTCCGCTTTGGTTTTATGATCCATATATTTTAACTTTCCATGTAGCATTCAGTTGATTTGTTTATTGTAGTTTGAATTGCTTTCAATATACTGTTGTGCATTTGGAGCGCTGTCCCGATTTCGTATAAACCCGCTTCATGAATGATGAAGATAATACATTTCTTGTCCGCGGACTAAATGAAGAGAAACCCCTCGGTTTTTGCTTGCTGATTTACAGCGGTTGGTTGTTGGATTTTAGCTATGACTGAAAGGTATGCATTCCTTGGTTTTGTACTAGCAGCTGACTTGACTTTACTACGCTGTTTATCCCAGCATGACAAAACTGAATCTAAGAACTATACGATGGTCTCATGTCTCAACCATCCATTGAGCTATGCTAGGTAGTGCCTTTATACCATCAAAGTCACATATCCCGTAGTGGTTAATTGTTAAAGGACGGACAAACTTAGTTTCCTAGTACTCCAGGTTAAGAGTTGGAGTGAGGGTGGCTCTTTTCTCCCTAAGACAGTACTTCTGTAGCTCTGCACTAAAATACTGCTGCTTAGTCATCAGGTTTTATAAACCAAAGGATTTGACTGAGAACCCTAATCCTTCCCATGTCTAGATCTGGGCAATCTGGCAGTAATTTGTCCGTGCAATGCAATGACTATCCCTACGCAGAATTCCCTGCTGCATTATCAGTAGCAGCAAATGGTCAACGGCGTCCCAGCTGTTGCATCGAGCACGGTGGATAGGGATTTCGATGCTGCTGCTCAGGCCTTCCCGTCCTCTTACCTCCCTCTTGCTCCTATTCATCCCTATCGTTAAGCTTCAAATTTGTTTCCACCCCATGTTTTCAACCTTCTAACTCTTAGTTCTTCCCCCTCTCGTTTCAATACACGCTAGTCTTGTAGTTTTAACTCTCACGCAATATCAAAGGGTCGCTCTGGTTCAGTCGTCAGTTCAGCTGTTTCCATTCGGATCCCTCGATTCACCCTTAGACTGGCATGCTGCAACGTGCACACTTCGTTACAGATTGGTCAACAGGCAGCGACTGCCTGAACACTGGAGACCTTTTCGATCGCTATCTGCTGTTTATAGGAGATCAGCCTGCTAGATTCGAGCTCCGGATTTAGTCTGCAACCACCCAGGTTCGGCACTGTTAACGCTATCTTACTGCGCCTGTCTGGAGATGACGCAGCTTCAAATCCTGGTCAAGCCGACGCGAGCATTGTTTTGAATACCCTGATTAAAGCTAACGCATGGATCGGATTCCAAGGAACAGCTGAATGTGCACCGTCAGGTTGTCTGCCTCGTTCCAGCTTTTGAAGTCGCTTAGACAAACAGTGCCTGCCTGTCATTGCGGTCTACAACCCACAAACTGTAGTAATGGCTTGATGAAAGACTTCCTATCACCAATTGAACAAGCTCCCTCGTCTCAGCAATTCTACGGGTGGTGTAGTGCTTGCTGGTGATCTAAACCCCCAAATAGGAAAATGGTCCTCTGATGAATTATATCTGGACGGCCAAAACAGTACGGGCTGCCGAATTGATAACGGTGAGCGGTTGATACGCATGTGTGAAGGTACTCGTCTATTTCGCAGGAGCACTTATTTCCCATTCAGCATCAGCAGCTGGGGGACATGGACCAGCTAGGAAGGCAATACGATCACATGAGGATCAGTTACCACTGGAGCGAATGTACCTAAACCTGCAGATAAATTGGGGGTACGCTAGTGGACTCCGATCACGCATTCATGTGTGCCGACCTGTTGATACGTTTGGGAGTACGCCTGCAACAACGACGTAAGCGTATTTATACTTTCCAACTTGAGCAGACAGATGTGTATCCGAGGCCAGTAGCATGCAGATTGAGTTCTCACTCACTGGACACGGTTAAACCTCACTGTTTGCACATTCGACAGATGTTATTAATAACAGGCTTCTTTTCATGTAGGGAATCAAATCGCAAACCGATGCATTGGGTATCTACGGTGTCTACAGAACTTTTAGGTGCTTCCCCAACATTCCGGCTGGAATAGAACACAATAAGACTCACATAAACTCCAAAAGGGAGCTGCGCGCTAGTTTGAAGACAGACCGCAAAGCTTAGTGGTCTGCTCGTGGGTCGGAGATAAAACCAGCCGCTGTTCTTGGTAACAACCTGGAATTATCCCATCTAGTACGCGAAACGGGCTGCACGAGACCTGATATTTACAAAACTACAGGCAACGTGGGTGGACAGCCAATCCACAGCCTGTAAAAATATATGAACGTTGGTCCGAACATTTTGAAGGACAGTTTAATTAACCGGCGTCGCCATCTTCCCAATAGGCTGTTGATTGCCCTAATTTCCGGGCCATTAATATTGCTTCAATAGTTGACTCTGAACAAGGCCAAAGCATCCGATAGACTTGCTTCAGATCTTTTAAAATTCGGGTGACTTGCACTTGTAAATGAATTTCACAACTAACTTGTAAAACTGTGCGAACTGGAGACTGTTCTGATAGGCCGGAGCCGTCCCGTAATAGTCCCATTTTCAAGGGCGGCTCACGTTCGGATTGCAGCAGTCACGGAGGGATAAGTCTGATCTCAATTACCTCTAAGTTGCTTGCCTCTGCCTTGCTTCATAGACCGCCGGACACCCGTGGAATTCAAAATCGCGAGGAGCAAGCCGGGTTTCGTCAAAATCGAGGCATCATTGACAACATACTTACTTTACGTCAAAAGTTAGTACACTGTCATATCCATTACCGAGGCACCGTATCGTGTTCTAAGACATCAAAGTAACGTTCGATTTGGTAAATCGTTATACACCTTGCAACTGTCTGTTCAGAATAAATTGCTCTTAAAATACGCAAACACCCTCACAGCTCCGTTTGCGCATAGTTAGGGCAGTGTGAGCACATATGGCAAAATCTCGCCCCTTTTTAATATCTCCAGCGGTGTGAGAGAAGGATGAGCACTGCCACCGTTGTTTTTTGATTTCGTATTATACGGCAGCAACGAAAGAACACTGTGACACGGCTTTGAGACGTGAACTGCACCTGCGACTACTTACACGGTAAACTGATGAAATCAGTCAGTCGCCTTGACACGGGTTGGTACGCGGTCTGGCCAGTAGAGACCGCTAGCTGGTTTGTATCTTTATATAGCAAGGACGTAAGCCATGCCAGAAACGTGCAGTCGGAGATGCTGGCAAGTAACTCATAAAGTCAACCGTATTCTGTTCCCGATACACTTCCGTCTCGCAGGCCTTGGTCTTCTGTCATTTTCCTGTTGGGTTCGCGGCAGAAAGAGCAGAGGCAAGGACAACGCTACAAAACTTTGCTTATGAAGAAGTCATTAAAAAGGCCTTCACTAGATATGCCTTAGGTAGCATGGAGCTGTTTTTAGGAAATGGACTTTACGACGGAGTATGTCAAATATATTGTCCTACTTTTTGATAGTTCCCGAGCGTGCCAAGCTACATTGGAGAGATTAGCCTCAGCTAGCAGCAGTTTCAAGCCATAGGCTGCGACCACGAAAGGAAAAGTCCTTCTCAAAAGTTGATGAGAGCCCGCAACTGCGTTGAGCTTAGTGAAGCTTAGCTAGAAGCTGTCGATAAATCGAATTAAACTGATAGCTATATTATTGTCTTTTGGATTGAAGACGAAATCGCAAAACAGTTATCAATATGCCTAAATCTTTTTGAATACTAACACCATATGTGGCGTCAGCGTAATATTACTCTCGCTCTGAGGGGCAGGGTTCACACCGTGGCCGTCTGTTAAACCTTAATGTACGGTTGCGAAACCTGTCCTCTCAGGTTTACCAAGGCAAGCGGCGCTGAATTTGGGAATCCGGCGCGAATCGATCGACCAACAAATACCAGCTCACGTCAAAGGAATCGAACTATTCCGACAATATGATTAACCTGTGGAGTGGAACTTAAACACGCTGGCTGAAAACCAAACGCTGAATAGTGGGCGACCTTGACCTCCTAAATTAGCATGTTTCGGTTACCAATTAATGGAGTTAACCTATCCTGTAGTGATACACCCTCTGGCTATCGAGTTTGAACCTTTTGTATTCCTTCGGTTGGCTGGATTTGTGACCTAGAAGTCAGACAGCCGCAGTCTCATAGAGCAGCTAGCAGCAGTACAACAGTTGTCCATAGCAGAGAGCAGAGAGAGAGAGAGAGAGAGAGAGGAAGCGCAAAAGCGGTGGCTACGCGAGTTCAACCGAACCCAGAAATGTCAATCAGTCTTGAACAATTGTAGATGCCTTTGCAGCAACAACAGGCGCAGTTTGAAGCATCCCAGGCCAAGCTGCTCTAAAATCCAACTCAGAAGCTGACAGTGCAGTCAAGCCCAGGGTTTGGGACAAGTACCAGTGTTCCCTCACCGTGAACCCTGACTCAGTAGATCAGTGAGTTCCATTATGACGCTGCTGTCGGCATAATCGTTGTTTCTTGGTTCCACAAGTATAAAGACA